CCTGCCCTGCAGGGCTTGTGCCCCTTTGTGTGTGCTGGCCGCTCTGTTCCGCCCGCGTGTGCCGCTAATCGAGCCCCTGGCTTAGTTTGCGGCCTTCTCCGGAGGCCGCGGCCGCCATGTTTGGTGTGGGCACGTGCGCCCACTTCCTGACGTCACTTCCGGTGCGCCGCTTCCCGGTCCCTGTAATAGCGCGTCATCCTGTCGGATCGGTCTTTCTTGCCGTGACGCAGTCGGGTGAGGACGCGCTGGGCTACTGGGAGTCAGGTGCTGTAGTGGGGTCGTCTGCCTGCAGGAGGACAGCTGTGGGGACAACCGCGGTGGGGGCGGTGCCTGCTGGGGACTCCCTAATTGCCTGTGGCTTGTATTAGGGGCATGGACAGTGGGGACGTACTGGCCGCAGTGCCCTGTGAGGGCTGCGGCCTTCAGGGACTTCTCCCACGTCGCCTCTTTGCGCAGCCTGCGCTTCTGCGCCCCTTTCCCAGTCTCCCTTGATGCCTGCGGGGTGCTTGGGTGGGGGGTCCGCTGGCGCAGCATTGTCATTGGAGGTTTTTTCCTCCACTATGGACAGTTTTGTGTCCCTTATTGAGCGCGCACTGACGCAGCGCCCTCCGCTAAAGCGCACCTTGCCGGCTCCCTCCACAGTCCTTTCTGGGGATTCGGAGGTAGAGGGGGAAATTTCTGCTGCGGCCGCGCATCCCGACCAGGGCGATTCCTCCCTGGCGGAATCTGGTAGTGACGACGAGTCGGGGGCCTCCCTTATGGTCCAGGAGCGCGAATTGGTCGCGGCCTTGGTTCGCGCTGTGCGGGAAACGCTTAAGATTGAGGAGACTCCGAGCTCTTCGGCGCTCCCGCCGGTTCCGTTTGGGACGCACAGGAGTAGGCGTTCCACTAAGGTTTTTCCTTATGTTCCTTTTTTTTAATGACTTTGTCTACAAGGAGTGGAAGCGCCCAAGCAAGTTGTTTTCCGTTCCCAAGCGTTTCTCGGTTCGTTATCCTTTTGAAGAGTCCTTCCTGTCTAGGTGGTCCACCCCTCCTGCGGTGGATCCGCCGGTTTCCCGCCTGACCAAGGCTACAGTCATCCCGGTGGAGGATTCGCCTTCCTTTCGGGATCCCACGGATAGGAAGGCGGAGGCTGTGGCGCGTTCGATGTACTCTGTTTCCTGGGCTCTGTTGCGCCCCGTGTTGGCGTCAGCCCTGGTCTCCCAGACTTTGACCGAGTGGGCAAAGATGCTGCGTCAGGGTCTTGCGGAAGAAAACGTGTCTCCTGCTTATGTCGACCTGACGGAGCAGTTGGTGCAGGGTCTGCAATACCTGTGTAATTCGGCCTTGGATGCGGCACCTTTTGGTTTCCAAACTGTCTGTGTCGGCGGTCACTCTTCGACGACTTCTCTGGCTTAAATGCTGGTCGGCCGACCAGGCTTCCAAGAAGGCCCTGACGGAGCTCCCCTTTACGGGGGATTGTCTGTTCGGTACTACCTTGGATGAGATCATTAAGGATCTGACGTGCTGTAAGAGTACCTTCCTGCCTCAGTCGAAAAAGCCTAGGGACCAGCGGCGGAGGCCTGGTCCTTCCTTTTCCGCTCACAAGCGGCTTTTTCGTCCACCTCCGCCCTCTGAGAAGGGCGGGAAGTTCAGCAAGCCGCCGCCTTCCCAGACCGCCAAGCGGCCCTGGCAGCCCAGGAACGCCAAGCCCCAGGGTAAGCCCCCCGCGGCATGAAGGCCTGCCCCCATCCAGGGATTCCAGGGTGGGGGGACGTCTTCGGCTCTTTGCGGGCCGCTGGCTGTCCCGCGTCTCCGACACCTGGGTGCGGCAATTGGTGTCTTCGGGCTACAAAATTGAGTTTCTGTCGTGTCCCGGGGACAGGTTCTTCCCTTCCAACATCCGTCTCCCTCCACAGCGCCTGGCGGACCTTCATTGTGCGGTGGCAGATCTTTTGTCCCAAGGGATGGTGGTTCCGGTACCCTCCTCGGAGAGGTTCAGAGGGTTTTATTCCAACCTGTTTACGGTACCAAAGAAGGACGGGGTTCGCCCCATCCTGGACCTCAAGCGGTTGAACGTCTTTGTGCGCGTTCGCAGGTTCCGGATGGAATCAACCCGCTCTGTGGTGGCGTGTCTTCATCAGGGGGACTTCATGGCCCCCCTCGACATCAAGGATGCCTACCTTCACATTCCGGTTTGTGCCTCCCACCAACGCTACCTTCGCTTTGCGGTGGGGGACGACCGTTACCAGTTTGTCGCTCTGCCCTTCGGTCTGGCGTCGGCACCTCGGGTGTTCACCAAGGTGTTGGCCCCGATCTTGGCCCTGTTGCGTTGTCGGGGGATCTCGGTGGAGGGGTACCTGGACGACCTCCTGCTGAAGGCGGAGTCGCATTCCTCTCTGGCGGCGGATCTGGCGATCACCGTTCGGTCGTTGGAGGAGTTCGGCTGGCTCCTGAACTTCCAGAAGTCTTGCCTGGTGCCGACCACTCGATTGGAGTATCTGGGGTTGGTTCTGGACTCTGCCTCGGCGCGGGTTTTCCTGCCCCCGAGAAGCTTCTGAAGCTTCGCTCGCATGTGGCGCTATATGCGGCCTCAGCCCTCTTTTTTGCCGAAGGTGGTTTCGGCTTTCTCAATGAGGACATTGTCCTGCCTTCCTTGTGTCCGCAGCCTGTCCACAGGAAGGAGAAGGCGCTGCACTGTCTGGATGTGGTACGCGCCATCCGTGTTTATCTGAGTACTACGGCTTCGTTTCGGGAATCGGATTCCCTGTTTGTCGTTGTGGATGGCCCTCGGAAGGGCCGGGCTGCCTAGTCGGCCACCATCTCTAGATGGATTCGCAACACGATCTCTCAAGCGTATGCTATTAAGGGGCGTGAGCCTCCTTTTTCTGTTATGGCCCATTCTACAAGGGCTGTTGGGGCATCTTGGGCTTTTCGTCCTTGTGCCTCCGTTTCTCAGGTCTGTAAGGCCGCTAGTTGGTCTTCTGTTCACGCCTTTGCCAAGTTCTATAAGGTGGATGTTTTGGCATCTGCGGATGCTGGTTTGGGGCGCAAAGTGTTGCAGGCGGCCGTTTGAGGGGGATTTTTTGTTCAGTTGGGTGCCCCTGCCGGTGGCCAAACCCCCCACCTGCTGACAAGTCTCCAGTTAGCAACAAGCAGTAAAGGAGTACACACCCAAACAGAGGGGCGGGCCCTGTGTCCTTCAATGAACGGGAGAGAAAATAGGATTTTGGTATTCACCGTAAAATCCTTTCCTCTCCGTTCATTGAAGGACACAGGGCCCGCCCCTCTGTTTGGGTGTGTACTCCTTTACTGCTTGTTGCTAACTGGAGACTTGTCAGCAGGTGGGGGGTTTGGCCACCGGCAGGGGCCGCCCCTAGGCTGTAATTGGTCTTTAGTTTTGTGCCTAGCGTCCTTCTCCTGCACCACATACTGGCACAGAACAGTAGGATGACTAAGGAAGGAAATCACCAAGGTCGGGAATGTGGGCAAAACAAAAAGAAACAGAAACGAGAACTTATAGAGGACCAGAAAAAGGAGGAAAAAGAGTAGAGAAGCTAAGTAAAGAAAAGGCAAGGAAGCACTGAGTACAGAGAAAGGTCGGTGAAGAAAGGAGCCCTAAGGACCAGGGCCAGGGGAGCCTCGTTCATCACCCTCCGCCACATTGTCACGGGCCACCCGTAGCTGCCCTTGCAGCTGTGAGAAAATGCCTTAGGAGGCCCCTTTTTACCGACTGAACCAGGTACCATAGTTAACAGTGCGATCCTGGGGTTGTTGGGAATCACTGTATCTGTCACTCGGTGATGGACATCCAGCACTGCCTGCCAAAACTCTTTGATTGGAGGGCAACTCCACCAAATATGCGTCATATGGCCCGGAGAGGCCTGGCAGCGCCAACAGGAGTCCAGGACTTGAGGGTAAAACCGGTGGAGTACCGTGGGGCATCTGTACCACCTGGTCAGAATTTTCAGGTTCTTTTCGTGTGCCTTACAAGCAATGGAGAGTGAATGAGATAGGACAAAAGATTTTTCCCTGTCCAACTCACTGATGGGGAGTCCTAGTTCTTGTTCCCATACCGATACATAGCCTGGAGGTTCCGGGGGAGGGCAAGAGGAGAGAAGTGAGTAAAGTAGCGAGACAGTATGGGTAGGGGGAGAAGATTGTAGGAGTAGGGATTCAAAAGCTGTAGGGGTTGCCTCAAAAATCTCAGGGTGAGTGAACGAGGAAACAAAAGAACAAAACTGTCTTTCGGCCAACCATGTGCGATCGATTGAAGGGACTACCGCGGAGTCCCGGATAGCCACCACTAACCGTCTGTGGGAATCTCTAGTCCATCCCCCGAAGGAGGCCTGACGCAGCGCTGGAGGGAACGCTGGGTTATTAAAGAGTGGGGTCATGGGGCCAACGTAGGAGGAGAGCCCCGATGTGGAAACCCATTTATCCCATAATCGTAGGGTATGCATAGTCAAGACCGGAAAGGAAGGAGGCAGGGCCTGAGACGCTCGAAGGATCCAAGGTAGGGCCTGCAGGTCGGAGCCCGCAAGCTCCCCTTCAAGTCGAACCCATTGTTTATCATCGGCTCTATGGAACCAATCCGTGATGCACAGTAAGACTGAAGCTGCATGATACAGGCGTATATCCGGGGCACCAGCACCGCCCTTACGCTTAGGCAGTATTGTAATTTTATATGAATATTTTTGGGTTGTGGAACGAATCATCTGAATTTCCATTATTTCCTATGGGGAAATTTGCTTTGATATACAAGTGCTTTTGATTACAAGCATGCTTCCGGAACGAATTATGCTCGTAAACCAAGGTATTACTGTATATCTATTCATATATTACACATTGATCTTATACTATCAAACATTTAGGCAATTGCCACACTAAAAAAAAACAAAAATTGCTTACAGTAGCAGGTTGCAAGCACACAGACATGTGCCCCAGGAGGGGGAAGCATGGCTTACTTGGTCATTATGAGGCAATCACATACTTCCTTTATCTTCAACAAGGCCAACGGAGGAAAGAGATGAACTAGGCTGCAGCTCCAGAGGACATCCTGGCAATGACTTGAGGACGGTAATAGTGGGAGTAGAACAGCGGAATTTGGTTGTTGTCTGGATACACTATGAGGTCTACTTGTGGGACTCCCCAAAGGGAGCAAATCCTCCTGAGATAGGGTTCAGTGACCATTTGGTATGGCTCTTCTAGCTCGGAAGGTCCGAGCTAGAAGTTCTGTACCCCACGGAGGTAAGCAAAGCCCTTTCAGGGTTGTGCGGTTTTACAAGCAAACTACTTGTCCAGGGACTAAAGCAGGAACCCAATCTACTTGTCCCTCATGACAATCTACTTTTCCTGATAAAAAAAATAATTTTAACCAAAACCGTATTTAACTGTGCATCCATCCTGATGTAATTTGCCTTGGTCCCGAGTCCCCCAGAAGAGCAGGGCTACCTCCAAGCATACCTGCACTCAATTTATCCATATCTGTATATATTAGAGTTAGGACTACACTACACAGAGGAGCCTTGACGAGGCAGTGTAGCTTTCACATGTTTGCTAATGTTGTGCAACTAAAACCTCTGTTTTTAGTGTAAATTGTTACTGTAATTTGGTTTTTGGGGGGTTTTTTTGCAGGCTGTGTGCTGGGAATTTTTTTTGTTTGTAATGTGCACCTCACTTTAAAAGCTAGTTGTAAATTGATTGGTGCAATCGCCATTTCCAAAAGAAACGTAGGAGAATAGAACCCTTGTCCCTCTTCTTTTGCTGGCATGGGTGTAATGGCAATTTAGTGCAAGAATTCTACAATAAATTGTCTTGGATACGGCCTGTTCTTGATGAGGGAAGATGTGTCAACAAAGAAAGACTTGCTGGAGGTGGTCTTGTGAATTAGAGACAGAGGCTGCAGAACCCATGATCTAGAAATCCTGTCCTTCCAAAATTCAACCCAGAAGTCTTGTTCCCACTGGCACGCCTTGGAGGACTGGGATTTGGATTGACTGGTTGGAACGCCAAGAGACTTGCATGAACTCCCTCCTTGGTTGTTTAGTTTAAGACTTTTTAATCTCTCATCTTCTCTGATTATGCCTCTGTTCTTGAGGAAGGAGGCCACATCCCCCCCCCCTGTCACATGGTAGATCACATCATCCAAGGTCTTGCCAAATAGTGCACCCCTTGTAAACAGGATATTGCATAAGCCCTGCTTGGAGGTCGAGTCTGCTAACAATTGCTTTAGCCAGAGGGCTCACCTGGCAGTCATGGAATAAACCATGGTTCTTGAGACCAACTTCACAAGGTCTATAGCTGCTTGCCTGCTGAAGTTCTTCTGTAAAGGATAGTTCAGGAACTAGAGTTCCCTTTGGGATGCGTGCTGAGCCTTTTACAAAAAAATCTTTCATGCTATCTGCCACCGCTTCCTTTATGTGCACTCTGATATCCTCATTCTCTGTAGATCTGCCAAGTGAGGCTTCCATAAAGCAAGTTTCACACACCAGCTTAAAAGGTATTTGTATCAAGTCACAGGCCCAGCAGGCTCTTTCATATTATTAATATTACGCCTGCAAATAGATGACAACCAGCAGCGGAGTGACCTGGTTCGATCGCGTTTGTGATGGTATTTCTGCTTAGTTTTATCATGTGCAGGTGGAGAGTGCGAGCGTTGCGATCTCTACGACTAAGCCCATTATTAGGTGAAGCACGTCAGAGGGGCAGGCCTTGGGTGGGGCACCAGTGATGTGGTTCAAGCTTCAATAAATTATTCCAGCAGAATCCAGTGTGCGGCCAGCTTTTCTTCTGTTTGTATGTTGCTTGCTAGAAGTTATGGCTTTCCTTTTGGCTTCTAAGACCAGGATCTCTCCCCCTAACACTCCAGGAATAACTTACCAGCAGAACGTGACAGGGAAGGCAGATGGACACAGGTGGAGTGTAGCATGGCCAAGCTGCAGAGCCTATGCCCAGATTAAAAGAGAACGGACAAGGAGCCCCCTCCAATTGACCACCGGCATCGTAGTTGCCTGGCAACCTGTTCTGCTGCCCATATCAACCACCACTAGGGAACAGCTCTGGGGCAGAATGACATAATCAACAAGCACTATTGCTTTCTTTATTCTTGTGTTCTGTATACAATGTATATTATATATAGAAGTTCCAGAAGCACATCCTAAATATTGTATAGTAAACACCAGTGGACTACATGTCCCAGTGTGTTTGGTAAACACTGTATATTATACACCCGAAGACTATAAGGTCCATCAATTTCCCGTATGTATTGTATATTATACAAAGGAGAACCACAACATAATACACGTGTATTATATCTTGAAGGACCACAAGTCCCATATATTGCCAATTATACACATATCCTGTTCCATTTATCTTCCCTTTCTGTTCTTTTCTTTTTCTTTTTCTTTCATTTTTTTATTAACACGTTCCCTCTCATTGTCTTTAGATGGATCTTTTTTTTCAATGTAATTACAATACATGTTCTATTTGTTGATTTTTAAACTGTCTAACAATAATTCTTTTGCAGTTATTTTGGATTTACCTCCTCTTACTTTCACTGAGATTGGATAATGCATAGCCCTGAGTTGAAGAAATGTTGTTATGACAAATGGTAGTGCTTCATAGAATACATGTGTCGGTTGCTTTAATGTCTTCAAATGCAAAATAGACTGTTTAGATACAGTGGGGGGAATTTATCAAAACTGGAGCAGATTTGCATTGCAACCAATCAGGTTCTATCTCTTATTTTCAAATCAATCCCAACTGAGCAAACTTAAGAGAGAAGCTGATTGGTTGCCATGGGCAACTGCTTCAGTTTCTGTCTGCTCCATTTTTGATAAATACATAAAATGCCTACTTTATATGTTCCAGGATGCTATAACAAAACTGGTCTAAACCAAGAAAAAAAATTCAGGCTTAATGACATAGGAGCTTCTTGTATTTTGATCTAATTATAGTCTCATTAAAGGTAAGGTTGGCTGCCGACTTGATCGCCATGAAAATATCGGGCGCGGTCACATTGGTGTAAAGGGGTTCAGACAGGTCATGAATGAACAACGGTTTAATGAAATTCCCATGATCCTAGAGACGCCTTACACGTAAGTTAAACTATTTTCTGTAATTTTATTTAAAGTGTATTTCCACTTTGCAACCAAATTAGGGTAACTCCTACTTTATATTTGTTACATGTTCCCATTCACAACGCATAACTTAAAAATGAATAAAATACAAATTTAAAAATTGCTGCCTACCATTTTACTTGTTCTTTTTTTTTTATTTAATAATCTTTATTAACTTTTTCCACAACACAATACAAAAATTTCAAAGAGGAAAAAAAAAAGGGGGGCATAATACTTCAAATCACTCCTAATAACAGAGGAAGAAACAAGGAAAAAGACCAATTTCATTATATATACAGTATATATAAACCATATCTAACCCCAATAAAGTGCTTGACAATTAATCCCTTTAAAAATTTTATACAATTCATCCCAAACTACTACTTCATAAAAATATATAATATTCAAATAACCTTTATAACCTTGTATCCAATATATAAAAGATGTATAACACTACCCATATTTGAACAATCCTCTTCCTATAGTATCATTATTAACTACTAGTCAATTTACTTATAATTAAAAATATTAATTAACATGAATCCTTAATCATCCATTTTATATTATTCCCTTCATATATTCAATTAGTAAACCATAATTATATATATATACTAAAAAAATAAGGGTGTATATGTCTGAATGTGATCACAAAACCAAAAATCCCCTTTAATTCAATAAACAGTATCATCCTTCCTTCTCTCACCTCCTTTGTTTCCCCTTTTCTCCCTTCCCTTCTCCTGAATTGTATATTAATCTTTATTGAAACTCTTTCCCTTCTTTATACATACCCCACCTCCTACATATTCCCTCTCCCATCCTTGCTACACAAAACAACAACAAAAAACAAAACATTTTTTTATTATAAAAACAAAAAAGAGAAAAGAGAAACCTTTATAAATCTAAATAAATATTTTCTTGCCAAGTCTGGTGCGTTTGATCCAATTGCTTCTAGATATGGTTCCCAGATTTTATAAAACATCTATATACATCCCTTATGTTGATATATCAATCTTTCCCTTGGTAACATATGATTATTATGCACAGGGGGAAAAAATCCTAAACAGAACGTTATGCCCACAATTAGCCACTGTTGATCCAGAGAAAGGCAAAAAAAAAAACCCCCTATAAAGCATGGTTCAATTTGCTCCAACAGGGGGAAAAAATCCTTCCTGATCCCATAAGGCAATTGTATATTCCCTGGATCAACAATCTCTGATGCTTAATATACCTATAAGAACTCCAGTAATATTCTGTGCATTTAGGAATACATCCAGATTTTTTTTAAACAATGAACTGAGCTGCTAGAACTAGCTCCTGGGGAGTCTATTCCACATTTTCACAGCTCTAACTGTGAAGAATCCTTTCCATATGCAAAGGTTAAACCTCTTTTCCTCCAGATGCAAAGAGTGCCCCCTTGTCCTTTGCAGTGACCTTAAAGTGAATAATTTGGCACCAAGCTCACTATAGGGACCATTTAGGTATTTATACATGGTGATCATGTCCCCCCTTAATCGCCTCTTCTCCAGAGAGAACAAATTCATTGCAGCTAATCTTTCCTCATAGCTGAGCTCCTCCATGCTGCTTGTGAGTTTAGTTGCCCTTCGCTGCACTTTCTCCAGTTCCACAACATTCTTTTTGTGAACTGGTGCCCAAAACTGAACTGCATATTCCAGATGAGGTCTTACTAATGCTTTGTACAAGGGCAGGATTATGTCTCTATCTCTGGAGTCTAGACCCCTTTTATACCCCTTTGCTTTAGAAACTGCGACTTGACATTGCATGCTATTACTCTGAGTCTATGATCTACCAGAACACCCAGATCTTTCTCCATCATTGACTCCCCCAAACATACTCCCCCTAGAGTATAGGACGCATGCATGTTTTTAGTCCCCAAGTGCATAACTTCACATCTATCAACATTAAAACTCATTTGCCAAATAGATGCCAATCACACAGTGCATTCAGATCTGCTTGTAGGTTGGAGACATCCTGTAAGGACTGTATTCCACTACATAACTTGGTGTCATCTGCAAACAGAAATAGTACTTATAATCCCCAATTCTATGTCATTTAGAAATAGGTTAAACAGTAAAGGGCCCAACACTGAACCTTGGGGGACACCACTAGCAACCTCAGACTATTCAGGGTATGAATCATTGATCACCACTCTCTGAATACGCTCTTTAAGCCAGTTATCTATCCAATTACAGACCGAATACTCTATACCTACTGACTAGAGGTGCACCTAAATGAAAATTTAGAAACCGAAATGAAGAAAAATATCAGGCCGAAACCGAAAATGTTTTTCTAACTTTTTCAAATATTTTATTTTTATTTTTTTATAAACTTTTTATTTTTTGTATTTATTTATTCATGTTTATTAAATATTTGTATTTTTTACTTTACTGTTAGGGGCTTCGGGGGAAATATTAAGGGTCTAAACAGACCCCTAATACTTCCTTTTTAAAAATAGAAAAAGAGATTTGAGGACACAGAGTCCTCAATCTCTTTTTCTGCAGCCCCTGTTATAAATGATCAGGAATCCTCTAACTAGGATTGGAACTGAACACTTTTTAATACGAAGTTGAATACATTGCACTTGTTACAACACTGGTTTACATTTTTTATATTTATTTCCATATTTTTGGATTACACTCACTACTAGAATGGCACCAATGAGTATATGATATATTCGTTTTGTCAATTGTAACGCTATATAATTTCTCATTCACTAAAGATTTGACACTGTCCCTTAATAGTCTTTTAACACTTTGAGACTGTTACCCACTATCAATCCACCACTGATCACTTCTTCGTCACACCAAGACCTATTTTACACCAAGGTGGTTTTAAAAACTATTGCCTGGCTCACTTTTATTGCTAATTAGTTTGATATGAGCATAGGATTATTGATTTATTAGTATTGTTAATTTTCAACCTAAACATTCATGAAATATACTCACATATAATATCACCTTTTTATTTATTATTTTGGTTTATTATATGGCACATTAACTATTAGATTATATTTGTCTCTCACCTTTTAGCGCTGTGTTCTTTTTATTTACATATAGTAAACATACTTTGTCCTCAATTATTTACAAGCAGTCAGCGATCACTGATCCCTCAGTGTTTGGACCCGCTCTCCATCCTAACAGCTGTCACAGAAGGCTGGGCGGGAGGAGAGCTCAGCCTCCTGTGACCGCAATGGCTGTCTCTCCGCCCCCCACACCGATCTCCCGATCTGTGACAGGAGGCTGAGCAGTGCGGGGAGGAGTTTCCCTCCTCCCCGCTGGGGCACAGAGCAGCGCCCAGTGGGGAGGAGAGAAAGAATGGATGCATCGCTATTGCAGCCAGAAAATGGCACTTTCAGCATTTTGAGAAAAGTGCCATTTTCGGCGGCCGATAAATCGGTGCATCCCTACACTAACTTCTACATTAGCCACATGTGGGGAACTGTGTCGAACACTTTTGTAAAGTCCAAGTATACTATATCCACAGCCATTCATCTGTCCAATGTATTACTCACTTCCTCATAAAAAGAAATAGAAGAAATAGTTTCCATTGAAAATTCCTCTTTATCAATCAATCCCAGAAGGCAAATCCCAGGATCTACCGGTATTTGAGTTTGGTAAATATTATTAATTAAGTTCACCACTGCCTTAAAATAACTACCGTATATACTCGAGTATAAGCCGAGATTTTCAGCCCATTTTTTTGGGTGAAAAGTGCCCCCCTCGGCTTATACTCGAACTTTGGGCATCTCCATAACATACTGTATGTATCAAGTTCGCTGGTTCCCCTGTACATCTTGGGCATTCCCTGTTTTCTTTCCTATGCCATGTGCCAATTTTTGCGGGGTGTAATGCACCCTACGCAATATGAAAAGTTGTGTCAATTTCTGAGAGGGGAATAGGGACATCGCAGATATATTATTTAATGCGATTTGCCAATTCCTCTCCTCTATTGCACCCACATCCTCCTCCTATCCTTTCCTGCAGGGTAACTTCCATTTAAGTGCTTTATTTTTTTCCATTGCTCCATATATTTGAGAAATAAGGCCTTTTCTTAATGTAGCTTTTGCAACCAACTTCACCAATGGGGATATTACTGGTACAAATAATCTTCTCCTGTTCTGTGCCTCAATTACATGACACAACTTGAGATATTTATAAAAATGTTGTTTAGGCAGTTGGAACTCTTCCATTAAAATTTGATACGTTTTTATAGTATGTCCATTATATGACTGTGGCACATAACTTATCCCCCTATGTTGCCACTCATCAAACCCTTATAATTTGGCCACTTCACTATATATCTCGTTAGACCATATTGGAGTAAATGTTGTAGTGCCCTCATAATTCATAATCCCTTTCATATCCTGCCATATTTTCCATTTCAACATAACTGTATCATAATCTTTATATTCCTGGGACATCCCTTCTTCCAATTGTGAGATAATTGAGTATCTGGAGAGTAATAACAAAAGTATTTTCTGATTTGGGTCTTCCTGATTCAAATCACTCTAACCCGCTATGACCAAATAAGCTCTCGAAATATAGAGCTATAGTTACCGGATCGTAGAAGCGATCTGGCAACAGCTGAGCCACCAGAATCACTTCTACTGTAAAGCCGGTTGCCAGCTTGAAAAAAACGGAACAGACTCCCGGCGACTAAAAGCTGTCGGGAGTCTGTGCAACCCCTTCCGACTTCATGACGGGATTATCCCGTCATAGGTCGTGAAGGTGTTAAGGTAGGCTCTGTTTCAGTCTGTACAACAGCCACATACTTATCTTTGGATATATCTTTCCCATTTGGCAAATCACCTTGATTGGTATCTGATCTTCTCCTCTCCATTTCCTCACCTCCATTCCCCCCTCATGTCAGCTTATCCCTGTAGCCCCTTTCAGTTGGTCACCCGCTGTTGAATTTCTTGTTTCTAGGAGATCCTCTAGCTGCTGTATGAGCATATTTCTCCA